CTTTGAAGTGCCTACATGGAAGACATCTCAAGCTGAGCAACCTGATCCAGTGCTCTGGCACCCTCCCAGGGAAGCAGCTATTCCTCACGGCCAGGCTTCCTACGCTGTGACCGTGCACAGTGCCCACTCCCACAGTGTGATTTAGTCTCCTATTTCATTCCCACTACCATGCAATCTCTTTCAGCAAATGAAAGAAGGATCCCCAAAGAGCCCATAAGAGGACACTTTGTGTTTAAAAATAAAAAATAAAACAAAATAAGCAATCCTATTACCACCTCCCACTAGCTGAGGCTGCCAGGCCCTAGCAGCAGCAGTAGGATAGCAGCTGTAGAACTGTAGCAAGACCAGGACAAAATAATTACATCCATATAGGGGAGAAAAACTAAAGCAATACACACATAGCTTTAATTATGTCAATTTCCAGTCTGCAGCTTCATGGTGCAAATGTAATTCTTCCTTACATCATCTCCTAGATTTTATTTTCTTCCAAAAGAAACAGGAAATTCAGGAGTTTAATTGACTGGCAGCATCTCAGCACTCAATCAGTTTTCTGGTATCACTGCACAAGCCTCCATCTTCTCACTTATTGAAGTTAGCAATTGCAGCAAGCTTGGAGCTCTTCACTGTGAGCCCTAGATTCCTTCCCAGCCAGTCCTACCTTTAACCATTAAACTTGCTTAAATCCCCAATTGTACTGTGACTACCCTCCAACCCAAACCAGCCCCTCCTCTGCCAGAGGCAATTTGTCAGTCTGTTGCTCTTATTCCCTTCAGGCTTCAAACACCAAGCAGCCTTTTCCTCTTCAAAGACTGGTCTGTAGAGGGTCTAAAAAAACACAAAATAGCCACCTTATTTTCAGAGGGCTGCAGATTCATTGCAAAAGCAATTCCACTAATAGTCCCACTCAGTCCCTACATTACCCTCAGCACTCAAAAGCATTCGAGCACTTAAATCCAATTTTCTGTTCACATGTAGTGGGAATGAATCTTCAGAGATCCTAACTTTGTCAGCTCTCCACTGAATACCTGCAAAATGATTTCTCAGCAGCATGCAGATCTGGGGCAAGTTTTGTGATGGGGGGGGGTAAAGTCAGATTCTCACAAAGCTGTATTTAAGTTCACATCTGTGTTACCACAACTGAGACTGTAACCTATAGGTTGGACTTTTTAAAGGCTATCATATCTCCTAACTTTTGTCAAGCAACTCAAAACAGGAACTTGAAACAGGAAATGCTGCATGACTTCATTAATAAATGGTATGAACAATGAAATATTCCAATGAAATATTATTCATCATGCAGTTCTGCACATAATATTTTGAAGTTTTGGGACCAAATTCCTTCCAACTGCTTCATTACATATTGCCTATTTTGCTTTAACAGCAGTAAACTTTGCCAAGGGTATGTCCCCAGGGCTTGGGAGGCCCATAGAAACCCTCAGTTGACTCTTGAGTGGCTTTAGGACAAGTCCCAAACGAAATGTTATTTCAAGGTTATCAGATTAGTTTCGATGTACCTGCAATTGTTCTTCTAAGGTGTCACAATTGCCTTTGAGGGCGTCTTTGTTCCTCCTGCAAGTGTCACGCAGGGAGTGCCAGCACAAGCGACTATCGGGTTCATGAAGAGGCGGGGATCCCTCCCAGGCCTTGCTATGATACCAGCTCTTCAACCTCACCAAGTGCAGGAGGAATAATAAAAAGGACACAGATAACACAAGGGAGGGTCACAGCACATTTTTCTTCATGAGTTAACCCCCCGGTTAATTTGAGGACATTACTTAATTAACCGGGTATATGTAACATCTTAAAGCCTTTTTAAAAAAAAAAAAAGTTTAGTTTTTCTTTTTTTTTTAAAAAAAAAATTGACTACAGTAATTGCCATCCCCTTAGCAGATGCTCTCAGTTCCCACACACTTAATTTTAGTTTTATAACTACAGTCACCTATCATACCATGCACTGCAAAGTGCCATTTTAAAAATCACCTTCTTGATCATTAGATCTTACTACTGCTTAGGGCAAAACTTCTCAACCATATATTATCCAAACTCACATGACAAGGAGGTAACCTTTATTTCAGATGAGTGCACACAAATACAAGCATACTGGCACATTGATATTTTTGTCAATATTGAAGAAAAGACAAATATCATTAAGGTAAATTACATTCCATGATTTTAATTAATATACTAGGTGTCAAGTGGCATACATTATGGCATTTTTTCCCCTGAAAAGCTAATCAAATATTAAGAAATGGAAAATTAACTGTGAAAAAATCTGAGTGAACAAATTAGAATCAGACAGCTGGACAATTCTTTTAAATTTTCTTTAGGTTAAAGAGTAAATACATTCTATATTTTTTAATAAATCTAGCTAGTTAAAATGTGCTACGAGCTTTATTTGGACAAATAAATAGCCTTAAGTTCAGAAGTTTTTAGCACAAAGCTATCAACAAACAGAGAGGGAGCACCACACACATGGTGCATCTCTTGGTCAGGCCTCTGCCCTCTTTTGCTTCTTTCACTCAAAGCTTGATTGAAGATTAGGGTTTTTCAAGAGGATTCAACCATTTCTTACACTGATGGGAGCAGGTTTGCTTCAACGCTGAGAGCAGTGTGCAGCAAGGAACATGGGAAACCTTGGATGGCAGCGCTCGCCCGCACGGCTCTTTCCAGAGGGAGCAGCCCAGGGGCCAACAGAGCATCTTCAGCGTTGGCACAGGCAGAAAGCAAGGCGAAGACGTGCAGATATGATCACTTGTACTCCCAGAAGCCCCAAGTATAAGTCCTTATTTTACACTGAATAATTCTGCAAATGCATATGTGAACATTATTTGCATATAGATAGATCAGCTGATCTGCAGGGCAGATAAGTAGGGAAGCAAGCTGCTGCTTTAAAGGATCAGAGGCCAATCCATCAAATTAAAGGACCAATATTAAATCAACTCTAATGAATTTAAAGAAGCTTAGAGTTATTGATATTCACCTGCACTTTTCTGGAGAAAAGGGAAGAGGGTTTAAATGTACAGTACACCTATTTTTAAAAGCAACTCCTTTCCTCCATTAAAGAAACTAAGTTAATTAGTTTGGAAGTCTTATGAAGCCATGAAGCAAGCCTATCCATGCAACGCTGGCAACATCGTCAGCTTAATGAACTGAGAACACATTTGCTTTCACTATTTCTTATGGCAGGCAGTGGTGCTGCTTAGCAAGCAGCACACAAGACACCCACAAAATGAAAAAAAATGCAATTACAGTCAAAAATTACCGCCGCAAAGCAATTACCTTAATTAGCCTGCAGTGATATCAATTCTACACTTGAAAAACCAATACCATCTTTAGGAAGATGTTCTGCCCTACTTTTAAATGAAATCAGGAGACCATCTCATCTACTAACCTAATGAAAACAACGCAATTCTGAAAACTCATGGCTAAAACATGTGGTAACACAATTCATTTTCAAAAGAATTTTGATTACAATATATGAATGGTCTGATCAAATAATTAAATAGGAATAGATCTATTCCTGACCAACAGGACAAGTGATTTATACAAGCTCTGACACCTAACTTGGGTTGCTTCTTCCTACTCCACACTCTTGCTAAAATTTTCCTTTTCGTTATTTATTTTTGCTATTATTTTTCTAACCTGTCTTGCTTTTTTGAAGATTCAGGTCTTGAAGAGCTGATGCCCTACCCCTTTTCTCTAAGTACCAGCAATGCCATGACTGGTACATTTCCTAGATCAAGCCCTTTCTTGGCTATGGCAGCAGTTTCTTTTTGGCCTTTCAGCTATAACATCATCCCTTCCAACTCATCCCTTTGAAGCCTCCCCTCTTCCTCAGAATCCTCTTTCTAACATCTGTTGCTCAAAGAAAGGATACTTCTTGTTTCTAAGATTACTGACAGTGAACATTCAAATAATTCATAACACATATTGTAGATTTTGGTAAACAATGTCAGAATTAGCCACACAAATATTTTGCCACAAATTGCTATCTTGATGAAAGGTCTCACTTTTTTTTTCTTTTCTTTTTTTTTCACAAAATGAAATGTTTTATTTTTAGGCTATACTGAGATTTATAAATGTTAGCTTACAGTAAATGGTCTCGAAAGTGCAACACAAACTAAATGTCTCGAAACAAAACAAAAAAACACACACACACCCTGATCTTTCCACTCAGAAATTTGAGAGTTCTGATTTGCTTCAAAAGTCTGCAAGACTTTCTCAAATATCAAAGCAATTTCTGTAAAACAAAGTAATATTTCCCAACGATTTCTGCCACTCTATGCCGCCACATACCTTTGGTTATGAAGCACCCCAGTTTAATTACTGATATAGCAACACTAGCTTGCGAACAAGCATGTTTTACCTTGAAGAAACCAAACCAGGCAAAACAAGAGCCTCGCCAGACCATCTATACAGCAAGGATAAAACACTTGTATTTTCCCTACTCACTTCAGTTTTATATCCCTTATTACAGTAAATTCCATCTCTTTGGCTGCAAATGCTTTAAATTCCTCCATTATGTTCATACATTTTGAAGCCCCTGTACACTGCTTCCACTGGTAACATATTAATTTGACTTTTATGTTTTTGGTATATCTAACAACATAATTTGACCCATTAAGTGCTTGGGCAAGGGACAGTTGCTTCTAATGCCTTTGCTGGCTTGTGTCCAGCATTGGTGCTCAGTGTAATAATTATTTCTGAGAAGCCACACGTGTACTCACTGCTTCACAGAAAAATGCAAAAATAATGACTTTCTCAACATGAGCACTTCAAAGAAATACAATTAAGGCAGTAGAGCAGATTATTCTTGCAAGAATAATTTGTGTCACATGATAATCCAATGCTATTATCAGAAAAGTATCAGCACTCATTCTAGCTATAAAGAAAAAGATGGGAATATGCATGCATCTTGCTTTGAAAATAGCCATACTCCAGCCATTAATCATATGGTACAACCAAACAACGTGGTTTGACTATAGATTAGACATTAGAACATACAGACAAGAAATGAACACTTTCAGCTTTTGCAGTTGTTCAAAAGCTTACTACAGTGGCACAACTATACTATACAAACATACATTAAACTGCATTGTGTATACACAATATATAGCACAAAACAACATAAAATGTCAAAACATCAGCTATTTCCACTGATATTAAGAACACTGAATGAACAATCAATACTTAGCTTGCCAACACAAAATCTCGTATGCTCTCCCTTCTGCTATATCCTGGTTTTCTTCTTTTGGTGTTTGTGATAAAGCTGCAAGCTATGGCACAAAGTTAATACACATCTTAGATACATTAGGTACCTGAGAAATGGAAAGGTGATTACTAGATGCTTTTTTTTTAAGAAGGGTTCATCTAATAACCTGGAAGACTGCAGGCTTTATTCTCATACAGCACAGCATGCAGTCAAGGCTCCTGCGTTTGCTGCTGTTACTTCAGGAGAGGATCCAAGAGTCATTGTGATTAAGTGTTTGCAGTATTCAAGAGAGGTAGCAAAGTAAATGAGCATTAGGAATTGCTGTGAAGAACAGTACTATAAACGATCAGCATAAGTTTACAAGAACAAGCTATTTCACTTCCTAAACTCATTGGAAGATTTCATCCAGTAGAACTAGAAACAGATGGATGAAAAAATGCAAGCTACATATGGGCACTCAAGAAATACCTAGCAGTCTGGTCACCACAATCAATCAACTTTTAGAAGTGTTTTACAGAAAACAGTCTCTATGTAACCAAATCCCACCTCTCTCTAACGCTTAAGATATATTTAGCACCGGTCCAAGATGCTTGGGTTTATTATTCCTTCACCCAGACAGTCTGGAATTCTCAAAGCAAAGCCACCTCAAGAACGCTCCACTCTCAAGGGCAGCAGATGTGGCCACACTTTGTGGATGCCCTGTAAAGCAAACTATATGCTTGACCTCTACTGCAAATCCATACTGATGGAGCTGAGCTGTATCAGCAAAAATAAAAAGCAGAGGGGAAGATTAGGCCTTACAAAGATTGTCTGTTTACCATCCTGTGCCACTCTTCCATTTTCTAGTCTTTCCTAGAAATAGTAAGAACACAAATACTATGTTATTTCCCCACCTGCTCTAACTCAGTGCAGTGCAATTGAGGTTAATAATATACTGATAGTGCTGAGGTATATCAGCAAAAATAAAAAGTAGAGGGGAAGATTAGGTCTTACAAAAGACTGTCTGTTTACCATCCTGTGCCACTCTTCCATTTTCTAGTCTTTCCTAGAAATAGTAAGAACACAAATACTATGTTATTTCCCCACCTGCTCTAACTCAGTGCAGTGCAATTGAGGTTAATAATGTTCTTTAACACTAGCTACAGGTCCAAACATTTAGTCATTGCACAGTTATTCACAAATATTTCAGACAAAAAGACTCCTGTGTAAGCAGAAACTGCACGCTGCGGAATTTCTCTCACCACCTGTGGCACACAGGTTTTCTTGTCCTACAGTTTAAGCTCTAAGACACTATGCAAATACAAACTACTCCAGCACATTAATAAATCATCTACAGTACCCACCTAACGGTTACAGTTAATGCTCTGAAGTAAATCGCAACTTGCAGTAGCCTCTCAACATTAAACAGGACAACATTTTAAGTTATATATAAGACATATGAGGATACGTACTAGAATTACCTTTCTGGTCGTAGAAAGCAGATGTCTGTTTCAAAGAAGAAACACTTCTGATTGGGTTTTTATTCAAGAAACTTTGAGGCAGCAAAGCTTACACACTATTTCCTCAGTATACATGTAATTCCACAACTAAGGAATTATATTCTAAGCTAACAAATGGAGTCCTTTTTAGCTGTGTACAGTGAATGCAGTTACAAAAGTAGGCAGCTGAAGCAGAGAGAACTCCCACATTTCTGTTCTTGGGACATTCCTGTGCTCTGAAAACCTGAGCACAGCAAGCCCTTGCTCCAACTCTCCTGTATTTTTAATACACAAATTCACTCATCTTAAGAATTAACTATTATCAGTGTAACTAAAAATCTTACACAGATCTTGCAGACTTGACTAAGACATTTTACCGTGTTTTTAAATCAAGCCTGATCTTGTAGCCTGTTACATAAACATCAACACACATTCAAGTAAATAGCACTTTTCTGAGCCTCTTTTCAAGTGGTGGAGAAAATGCAGAACCCTCATCCCCACACAACCTCAGTCTATTAAGAGATCCTTAAAAACCTCCATGCTATGCATGAAAGCTCATCCCACCTATCAAACCCTAGAAGGCTAAGAAACATAAAATTCATAGAGCTTCAAGAAAAGGAGTCCTACCTTCACCAAAAAGATTCCTTGACATTCTTTCTTAAGTGCAATTCATGCCCACAGTGGCAAGAAAGTTATAAGGCATTAGCTTGTCTCAAGAAGGCCGGGTAAAGGAGTACAAAGCTAAACCGTAGTGAGGTGCCACACGAATGCCTCTCAGCTAAATATGCTTAGCAACTATTTGGTTTCACAGTTTTGCTCGAGTGACTCATGCACAGAGAGGACGGGCAGCAGCCCTGGTAAGCCAGGCCGTTCCCAGATGCTCCTGCGGAGCTGCCGCCGGCCCTTCGCAGCGGCGTCGCACGCACAGCACACTCACTTCCTTCAAGGCCGGCGGCAGGAAGCACACAGGGGCGTAGCAGCACAAGGGCTCATTGTCTGCCACTTCCACCGGGGCCGAGCCACCAAATCATGCAGAGGTCAGAGCAGACATGGATTCCCTCTAACTGAGCAACTCTGCTGCTTATTTGCCTCCTCTCCGCAGCTGCTTTCAAGCAAACAGATAAGGGAAGTGTTTAACACCAGCACAGGCAGCCTGCAGTTTTATGAGGGTCATCTTCCCTGCGCTGCTTTCAATAAGCCTGGTTAAGAGGCATCCACCAGGAGCCTGGACCATTCAGTGCTGGGAATAGCTTTGAACATGAGCTCACTCACAGCAGCCACAAGGGACACCACAGAGCATATTTCAAATGAGCTTTTCCCTGTATTTAGGCTGCTACGGCTTCCTTTAAGCATAACAGATTCCAGAGTAAATTAATTGTTTTAGATACTTATTGTTTTAGGTGCTGGACTCAACGCAGGATATTTGGATTCATTTCACAGCTCAGAACAATGACTCATTTTGTGACCTCTGGCAAAGTCTGGTATTCTGTTAAAATATTTGAATGAAAATATTCTGACCAGGAAGCAAGGAAAAAAAATATGCTTACTAGAAATTCTGCCTTGAAACTTTGGAATTTTATACGGTTTTTTTAATCCAAAAGTCAGCTGGCCAATCTGATAAGTCTCTGTCTTAACCCAAAACTAAAGAGTCTTTGCAAGAGCACTTCAGTGCTCATTAGGGACTTCACCAATGGGACCAGCCTCACAGTTCACCAGCCTGAAGTTTACAGTGGGCACTAGACTGGGGAAATTGGCTGTTACAGTGGAGGGATCTCAAAGGCTGAAAGAATAGGCTGAGAGGAACCTCGTGAGGTTCCCCAGATGAACACATTCTGCACCTGGGATGGAATAAAGCCATGCAGCACATGGAGCCAGGGAAGCAGCTGTGCAGAACGGGGCTAAGGATCCACATGCACATCAAGTGGAACATCAGTCATCCGCACACCTTTACAGCCAAGCAGGCTACACTAGCAAGAGCTTCCCAGTGGGTCAAGGGAAGTGATTATTCCCCTTACCTCACATCCTGGTGAGGCTGCACCTTGAATACCACATCTGCTTTTGGCAATTCCAACACTAGATCAGTACTGAAACAGGAATCCCACACAAGATCACAGCATATAATGCATGCCATATGTTCAGCCTATCTTCTGTCATACCAAGAGTTATTACAGAGAACACAGATTTTTTCTTGGAGAAGTTACTTCAGGTCACATAAGGCCTCATCTCACTAACTTAAAGGTCAGCCCCACTGTGGGCAGGACATGATCTCTGCAGAGATCTGTCAGTCTCCATGACTGACATTATTCTATGATTGATTTGGTTCTGAGTCATCTGGTGAGATACACTAATACAGAATGTTTCACCTTCCTGTTATTTTACAAAATGGAGTCCAGTCAGAATAGGGCTTTTAAATACAGAGAAACTTGTTAAAGTACAAGAGTGAAATGTTTTTATGACTACCTCTATTTAGAGGATCAGCCAGAATCTGAGCAGACAGAAGCCAAGTGCTTACACCTCCTGCTGCAAAGACATTTCCCAGCACTCATAACTACCATGCCCCTCATCACACACAAAAAACAGGTGCAGCACCAGCCTAAACACTTAGACTTTTGCTTCATTTATGCTGTGGTCAAGCCCATTTGCCTTGGCAAACATGTTCAAGTTTTAAAAATAATTAACAGAAGGTATAGCACAAATGGCATGACACTATTTGGCCATCCTGATGGAACAAGGCACATGATATACCTGATGAGTATGAATAGGTGCTTGCATTTTGTGAGTGCATAAATGTGTGAAAAGCTAAACATCTAACAAGAACAAATAAAATGGCAGGCAGGTAAAAGGGACAAATGAAAACCAGGAGGCAAGGAAGAAGCTGAAAACAGAAGGAGTAATAGTGTATTACTAGAGGAGTATAGAGCAGATATCAATAGGGAGAGTGCAAAGTCTAAATGCAAAGTTCTGATATGTAATGGAATACTTCATTCAGGAGCATCACAGACCAAAATTTGCTCTGTGAATTTGCATTATCCTTTCTCTTCCCCACTCACCACACTTCTCCCTAAGAAAGTGTGATTGTTTTCTTCCTGCAGAACCTTATAACCTTTCCCTGCCTGCACATCCTTTTGATACCTCCCCTGTCTTTCCCCTAATCCAAGTTACATTCATATTATATCCAGCCAGAGCCAAATCACACGAACCCTCCAAAAACCTCTCAAAAAACTGTCCAACTACTATTTAGTGAACTTAACAGAAGTCTTGCAAATAATTTCTTAATCAATGGGCTTACAGCAACAAGCGATTAAACACATTGCT